CTGTGGGGATGAGGAGTGAGGAATTTTGTTAGATTTACAATAATGTTTATTCCCTATATATAAGAGAGAGTCTTGCATAGTATAGGGTCTGCTGAGCAGCCTCCTACCTACACTTTTCATGTTTTATTATATGAAAAATTATGTGCTCTGTACCACATTATCAAAAGATTGGTACTGTATTTTTAGAGCTTTGATAGTTATGTATGAGTATTTTGGGATATTGAGATTCAGAGAAAGTTCCAACTCCCACAGAAGTGTAGCAAGGTCATGAAACCCTGGGGCAAGTTCTTTATTTGCCCATGACAGTTTGAGGCCCCCTTGCCTAAGATTTTTCAATAAGGAAAATAATAATAATATAATAATAATCAAGGTGTGTAAGGACCCATTAATTTAAATATAAAAATCCTTTAAAACCTCCCTTATATGGGGGGCTTTTTGACCCCCTTTGGCTTTTTAGGTAATTTTTATTTGTTTATTCCTTTTTTGGTTTGATGATTGCTGCATAGCAAGCAGGGCAGATCCTAGGTGGTTGCAAAGAGGCAAATAAGCAAGGTGTGAAGCACTAGGCTCTCTCCTCAGGTTATGCTCACCCCTCTCATTAGGCTCCGCAATTGGCACCGGGCAGTAGAGATGGAAGGAAAAAGTGATGAGCTGTTTGCGGACAACATGGCAAGATGTATTCAACAAATTCACACTCACAAAAAAAAAAGAAAAGAAAAAGGTGCTCTGTGTCTTTATGTATGTGTATGTGTCTGTAAATGTATGTGAATGTATGTGTGTGTGTCTGTGAGTGTGTGTGTCTGAGTGTGTGTGTCTGTGAGTGTATGTGTGTACGCGTGTATATATATGTGTGTGTATGTGTGTAAGTGTGTGTGTGCACGTATTGATATATATATATATATATATATATATATATATATATATATATATATATATATATATATACACGAGTGTATATAATTTTTTTTGGGGGGTGGGAATCTTGGGAGAGTTCCTGGGTGGCCACCATTTCATGTATCAGAGTCACATGGTGAAAACAATGGATGAAGCACATGGTGAGAACAATGGATGGCAGCCATTTTAACTCACAGACACTGTTTGGACTTTTCTACACGATGCCATCTCAACGGTATTTGGTGTACAAAGACATTGTGCAGTAGTTTTAAACTATACAACAGGGGACACATTTAACAGTAATTATTTTTCATATAGCCTGTATATGTTCTGCGGAATCTGCATTAAACTGTATCTCCCAAACTACTGAACAGATCTGGGTGAATTTTGGATATGTGATTCACCCAGATCCCCCAGTTCCAGAGGATATACTTTTTATGGGGTTATTGCATGTTTTGGGGTCCCTGTGATATGTTTTATAATACTGTATTTCTCTGCCTGTGATAATTATATTAACCATTGTGTTCAGTAATCATATCATAGGCAGAGTGGAGGATTTTGTTTGGGAGTGTCTGTGTGTATTGTACAGATTGATTGGTTGTATTTCAAAACCCTGTGGGCAGTACTATGTTTGTAGAATGTGAATAAAAGAGGTTGTATGTGCCAGTACAGTCAGTTCTTTTTCACCCTCAATCTAGAGTCCTGTCTCTTATTGGGGGTATTGCTATATCACTGCAAGGGATTGCTATGCTCTGCATGCTCCCTTGGATAATCACTTCTAAGAGCTTGTTCCTATCTTGCTCTTGGAAGGAGTCTACGGTGGTTATGGTGTCGGCTGGAGTGCTTGGAGCCCTCAGGAAGCGCTAGGAGCATCCAATAATGGAGGTACCCAGTCGGGGTGCCAGGTGATCCGTTACAATTCCCTCTTACGAATTATGTTTGCTAGCAGCCTCTGTAATACACTGCATACTGCAATTCTTTATCCTTCTATACGCTGCAACATACCATGATAATCTATACTACTATACTCCACAACACGCTGAAACACTCTATACTACTATGCTCTGCGACATACTGCTTACAAAATACTCTATATTGCTTTAGTCAGCGAAAACACAACTTACGACAATGCTCTATACTATTATTTTCTGCAACATACAGCATTCTGCATTTCTCTGTATTACTTGGTGCTGCAACATACAGCTTACTCCAGTAATCTTTACTACTGTACTCCGCAACATGCAGCAATACTCTTTACTACTATACTCTACAATATACTGCATACTGTTGTTGTGGATCAAACCAAGTGTTTGTTTATTTGAGTATCTGCTCCCTTCCAAATTGGTAAAATAAAGGCGTGCACGCTTAGAAACATAGAAACATAGAAACATAGAGTGTGACGGCAGATAAGAACCATTCGGCCCATCTAGTCTGCCCAATTTTCTAAAAACTTTCATTAGTCCCTAGCCTTATCTTATAGTTAGGATAGCCTTATGCCTATCCCATGCATGCTTAATCTCCTTTACTGTGTTAACCTCTACCACTTTAGCTGGAAGGCTATTCCATGCATCCACTACCCTCTCAGTAAAGAGAGGTAAATCACACTGAGACACAGGTATCAGGTTAATGAAGAATTTCGGAATGTTTAATCAGGTGGGCGGCAAGCCCCTTATAAAGGCAAAAACACATTATATGCAAAAATGTAGATAACAAAGAATACATCTTCATTTGGTTAGGTGTTAAGTGTGTTATCTAATGCACATCCTACTAGGCGTGATGTCACCATCATCCCAGGATTTTACTCCGGATGTGGGCGCCATCTTGTTACACGAGGTAGTCGGAGGGAGGGGGTGTTCTAGCAGCCATTAAGAGTAAATAGTGAATACAGGTATACACAGTAAATAGACATTTTACTATCACTAATTTACATCCATAACAGTCCCCCCTTAAAATGACTATTTACTAACATTCTTAAAAAGCTACTGAATATCTAAATCTGTCCCTAAGAGGCTGCAGCACATCTGTCTAACAAACCTTGCAACTCTTTTGATGCTGTGCATAAGATGGGCAGTGGCTTGTCCACTACCCCCCTCGCTGCAGACTTTGCCCATAAAGACAGACGCTATCCCTGCTATACCTAAAAGGAAGTAGCTTTGTGATTGGTGTGAAAAGACTGAAAAGGAGAATGAGGACTGTCATAGTCTTCATCATCTATGTCTTGGTAAATGAAAGTTGGGGTTGCCTGATCTGCGATCTTTTGTAGGTACTTTTTAATACAGGGTAGCACGCAAAAGACAATGAGAGCAAGGATAACCAACATTATCAAGACAGCCATGCCTATCTGGGCCAAAACTTTCTGCCAACCATTCATCCATCCAAACCATCTGTCCCACGGATCTGTGACCCCAGAATTCCTTTTCAACTCCTCAGAGAGATTCTCTAGCTTCTCTATTGCCAGAGTTACCTTGCCATCATGGCCTTTCTTATCTGGGATGAAGGTACAACAAGTCATGGTGTCAGGTAGTATTTTACATACTCCCCCTTTCTCTGCCGGAATCATATCTAAGGCCATCCTATTCTGGAAGGTCATCTGGGAAGTAACTTGTAATTGCTCAGCCAGCCCTGAGGGGTGTAATTAACAAATCGCTGTTGATTATAATAGATATAATTAATCCAATTCAAATTCTTATTAGCAGTGATGATTGGGAGAATAGATTTGAATCCTGCTGCAACTTTGTCTCTTGCCTTGAATTCATTCGGTAACCCTCTTGGAACCCCTATGACATCTATATATACATGCCCTTTACAAGGGTGCTCCTTTTGATTCTAAAATATGAATGTAGCGTGTCAGGAAGGCCTTGGTGATTGTCAGATATTACAGTTGCAAGAAAAAGTATGTGAACCCTTTGGAATGATATGGATTTCTGCACAAATTGGTCATAAAATGTGATCTGATCATCATCTAAGTCACAACAATAGACAATCACAGTCTGCTTAAACTAATAACACACAAAGAATGAAATGTTGCCATGTTTTTATTGAACACACCATGTAAACATTCACAGTGCAGGTGGAAAAAGTATGTGAACCCTTGGATTTAATAACTGCTTGAACCTCCTTTGGCAGCAATAACTTCAACCAAACGTTTCCTGTAGTTGCAGATCAGACGTGCACAACGGTCAGGAGTAATTCTTGACCATTCCTCTTTACAGAACGGTTTCAGTTCAGCAATATTCTTGGGATGTCTGGTGTGAATTGCTTTCTTGAGGTCATGCCACAGCATCTCAATCGTGTTGAGGTCAGGACTCTGACCGGGCCACTTCAGAAGGCGTATTTTCTTCTGTTTAAGCCATTCTGTTGTTGATTTACTTCTATGCTTTGGGTCATTGTCCTGTTGCAACACCCATCTAATGTTGAGCTTCAGCTGGTAGACAGATTCTCCTGCAAAATGTCTTGATAAACTTGGGAATTCATTTTTCCTTTGATGATAGCAATCCGTCCAGGCCCTGACGCAGCAAAGCAGCCCCAAACCATGATGCCCCCACCACCATACTTCACAGTTGGGATGAGGTTTTGATGTTGGTGTGCTGTGCCTTTTTTTAGGCACACATACTGTTGTGTGTTTGTTCCAAACAACTCAACTTTGGTATCATCTGTCCACAGAATATTTTGCCAGTATTGCTGTAGAATATCCAGGTGCTCTTGTATAAACTGCAAACGTGCAGCAATGTTTTGTTTGGACAGCAGTGGCTTCCTCTGTGGTATCCTCCTATGAAATCCATTCTTGTTTAGTGTTTTACGTATTGTAGATTTGCTAACATGGATGTTAGCATGTGCCAGTGACTTTTGTAAGTCTTTAGCTGTCACTCTAGGATTCTTCTTCACCTCATTGAGCAGTCTGCGCTGTGCTCTTGCAGTCATCTTTAAAGGACGACCACTCCTAGGGAGAGGAGCAGTAATGCTGAACTTTCTCCATTTATAGACAATTTGTCTTACCGTGGACTGATGAACAGCAAGGCTTTTGGAGATACTTTTATAACCCTTTCCAGCTTTATGCAAGTCAACAATTCTTAATCGTAGGTCTTCTGAGAGCTCTTTTATGCGAGGCATCATTCACATCAGGCAATGCTTCTTGTGAAAAGCAAACCCAGAACTGGTGTGTGTTTTTTTATAGGGCAGGGCAGCTGTAACCAACACCTCTAATCTCATCTCATTGATTGGACTCCAATTGGCTAACATCTCACTCCAATTAGCTCTTGGAGATGTCATTAGTCTAGGGATTCACATACTTTTTCCACCTGCACTGTGAATGTTTACATGGTGTGTTCAATAAAAACATGGCAACATTTCATTCTTTGTGTGTTACTAGTTTAAGCAGACTGTGATTGTCTATTGTTGTGACTTAGATGATGATCAGATCACATTTTATGACCAATTTGTGAAGAAATCTATATCATTCCAAAGGGTTCACATACTTTTTCTTGCAACTGTATGTGTATAGGCATAATAACCATACATCTTCCAACCTTGACCTAAGTTGCATATCCCCACACAGCCAATATATGTCTCCTATGGACCAAACGTGTTTTTGTAACAAGACAAGTTCTATATGTAGCACAATATCCATGAGTGAAATTACCCAGAAATCTGCCTATCCCATTGTAAATACCGTATTAGGTGTAATTTCCCGGTTATACAGTAATGCCCTCGGCTGGCTTAACACTCTTGATGATCATAGTATATTCCTTCTTCCATGACTCACACGCTGACCAATTAGTTCTATAATAGGCATAGAGGCTTAAGAAACATGTCTCTACGTCAGGGTGTAAGTTTAGGGGTACAGTGCCTAAATGGGGTCGGGCTCCTCCACAGACATAGCAGTTAGTTTTGTTATGTTAGCATTATATCTCATCCATTCAAGCCATAGGTTAGTGTCTAAAAAAACCACGTCTCTACGGCCATAGTGTCTTCGAATGTGGGGTTAGCTATGGCTACCATGTCCTTGAAAGTCGTAATGTGGGGTTTAAGAGAGATGACAGTCATATGTCAGGAATCTACCAACTCAGGTGATTAATACATATAGGTTGAAGGTCCCTTGTTTATTATAGGAGCCTCCCCCTCTCCAATACATACCCATTACCTATTCTCTGGCATCCCCGGGACTGGGGTGTTATATATTTAGGGTGAGTTTCATTGGGGTTGCCCCACCGTAAAGTCATTCTACGCAATAGGGACTCCCCATTTCTGTCCAGCCTATCTAAGGCACTCTGTGGTTTGTAGCCCCAAGCTGGCCCTGCATTCCAACCCGCGCCCTCCAGGAACTGCAGTCATGTCCCCAATAGTCGTCTGTCACACATATGTAGGGGTCTTTTATGATGGGTATGTCTTTATATACTGTTGAGAGCAATGCCTGTGGGAATGAACAGCTGACAATGTCATAATAATCAAATGTAAAGGTGGCCACATGTGTATTAGATGAGTTGTACTAAAATGTATAAATCTGATTATCTTTAGTAATGGTAACTTGTTGGGCCCTTATCAGGCCTAGCAGCAAAAGGATATACATGAGATTCATGGCTTAGGACAGTCCGCTTCTTCTGGAACTGGAACCTTCTTGCAGTGGGAGGCGTGTATCCAAGTGCTTTTTCCAGCTAATTTAACAAAAGTAGCTGTGACTAAGAGGACTTGGAAGGGACCATCATATCTCGGCTCAAGAATATTTTTCCTCACAAATTTCTTAACCAGAACCCAATCACCAGGGAGTAGTTGGTGGGTGCCTGTATCAGACTCTAGATCTGGAATGGAAAAAAACACTTGTGCATGGATTTTGGTCAACACTCGGAAAAGGGGAGTTACATAATCAACCAATATGTCAGACTGGAGCTGAAGTTGCTGGGGGAAGTAGCACCCAAGTCTAGGGGCTGAACCAAACAATCTCATAAGGGGATAGAGCAAACCTACCTCTCTGTGTGTACCTTACACTAAACAGAGCTATGGGGAGACTCTCAGGCCAGGGCAGGTTAGTTTCTTGGGCATCTTAAGCATTCTGGCTTTTAAGGTGCCATTCATGCGTTCTTCCTTGCCACTACTATGTGGGTGATAGGGTGTATGGAATGCAAGGGTCACCCCCAGCGCTGCCCAGACTACTTTGGTTACTGATGCAGTGAAGGCCGGACCTTGGTCGCTCTCTATAACTTCTGGAATCATGTATCTGCATACTACTTCGGTGAGCAGGCGTTCGGCGGCAGTTTTGGCTGTCATGTTGGTGACTGGATAAGCTTCTGGCCATCCTGAGGACATGTCCACTATAACTAGTGCATATTCATACCGGCCACTCTTTGGCATTTGGTTGTGGTCAACTTGGATCCTCTGGAAGGGGTAATGGGGTTTGGGCAGTGCTTTGGGCGTGCTTTCTCCACCCTGCCTGGGTTGCATTTGGCACAGATAGTGCAGGATCTGCAGTAACTGTCTGTCAAAGAGGTGATCCCAGGTGCTTTGTAGTATTTATTAATCAGGGAATTCATAAGGGTCTTGGACAGGTGTACAGCCCCGTGGGCCCACTGGACTGCTGCGGAGCACATACTTCTGGGTAAACAGAACTTGAGATTGTTGGAGTACAGCCCATTTTTAAGCGTTGCCCCTTTCTGTTTCCAGGATCAGCAGCTACTTGTCGTTCCTTCAGGAGCTTGAGGTCTGTGGGTAAAGTCTGCATAGTGAATATGGGAATTTCTTCGGTGGACTCTTCTGTCCACTTCCCTTGGCACGTATGCAGCCTGTTTGGCGGTTTCATCAGCTATATAGTTGCCCTGCGCTTCTTCTGAGTTCAGTCTTCCGTGAACTTTTACCTTTAGTATGGCCACTTCTTCAGCGCCTTGATAGCCATGCTGTGCTTGATTGGTGTGCCAGTTGCTGTGAGGAATCCCCTTGTCTTCCAGATTAGTCCAAAGTCATGTGCCACGTCTAGTGCACATCTTGAGTCCGTGTAGATATTGGCACGCTTTCCCTCCGCGATCATGCATGTTGTGATAAGAGCTTGTGGCTTCTTGACCTGACATGGATTAGGTCAGATATCTTCCTTGTTTATCACCATATCTGGAGCCATCCACAAACCAGGTGAGGTGAGGTGAGGTGAGGTGAGGTTCTAGTAGGGCAGTTTCATGCACCGTTGGGAGGTGTGTTGTTTCCATTTTCATTTGTTCAAAGCAATCATGAGGTGCATCTGGATCTTGGTCCTGGTCTGTGGGAGGGGCGTCAGTGCATATTTCTGTGTGGAATCAAGGGTAGCCAGTTGCTTTGCAGTTCACAGTTCGCTTGGTGACACCCTCTTCAGAGAGCTGTGTTTGGTCTGCGGTGCTTCATGATTTAGCCAATGGGCCAAGTTCTTTCCATGAAATCTGTGGAGAATTTAAGAAAGAAATTTGAGGGACAGCCACACCCCAGTGGTGATAGAGGTGGCCTATCTCCATAGTCAGGAGGATTGTGGCTAGGCAATTGCTTTTGGGGTCACAGAACAGATCAGTTATGGTAAGGCATACCTCCACCAGCTGGAACAGTTCTTCTTCATAATGGGGTTCAGGTCCTGGGGTGTTTCTGAACCACAAGGTGCAATGGGGGAAAGGCTGGGTATCATGGGGGACAGGGGGCTTGCACACCTCCATGCAAATAATGGAGTCTGGGTCTATGTCGAGGCTAAACATTCACTAAACATTCAGAGAAAATTGATAGTGCTTTGTCTAAACACAAGACAGATACCCTTAACAGGAAATTATCTAAATTTAAACGCGACACGATAGACTATCTTGATAATAAAGTTTATAATTGGCAGTTTCATTGTCAGAGATCTAACACACCCCAGGGCAAACGCTTGTTTGCACAATAGTGATAGTGAGCAATCTTCAGCTGGATCAGCCAATACTAACAATTTTTTAGAACAGCGACACCCCAGAGGAGGAGGCACAAGATCAGAAGAGGGAAGAGACACCGCAGCAAACCATTCCCCTCGGAGATATCCAGAGAGTGAGAGGAGATCATGGAGACATTACTAATTAATATTTCCAGGAGGGTGTTATCAGTAAGTGAGATTTCGGTGCTTATCAGGGGCTTAGGCTTTGTCCCGTCTTTTGATGGTGACAAATTGGACTTGGATATCGAATTGTATGAATTTTTCCTTACGTCTAAAAGTTTTGCAGGAGACAACTCACCCATGGATGCTCAAAAGAAAGAAGCTGATATTGGGGTCATTTCTGTTGACTTATCCAAATGTAAAAATAAAAGTAAGTTTACTCCACCTGCTACTAACCCCACAATTGAAACATTTATTAAGTTATGTCAATTGGAGATTTCCAATATTAACTGGTCTAAGAGGGGTTCCTCCAATTTGACGCCAGAGGAGTCGAGGGCCATTGGTGCCCCGAGGAGTGATGACTCCATCATTGTCCGAGCTGCGGACAAGGGTGGGGCCATTGTCGTCATGGACATTGATAAATATAATGTCAGCTGTCCAACCAGGTTCACTATGAGAAACTATCAAGGGACCCAATGAAGGAGTTCCAAGAAAGGATTGGGGTTATCACCCTTGAGGCTTTGAATCAGGGTTTAATCAACAAAAAGATTTTTGACTTTCTCAACACATCTACACCTCGGGTGCTGTTCCTGTACCTATTTCCCAAAATCCATAAGGACCTGCTGAATCCCCCTGGCAGGCCCATTGTGTCTGGTTGTGGATCACTGCTCCAGCCTTTGTCCCAATATATTGACGCTTATCGTCAAGTATTGGTGGTACAAATGAGGTCATACATACGGTATACCAATGATTTTTTGTGCAAGTTGAATAATTTGGGATCATCCTGTAGGGATACACTTCTGTGCATGATGGACATATGCAGTTTGTATACGTCCATCCCTCATAGGGGAGGTATGGAGGCTACAGCACAGGCCTTGGGCAAACTGGAGTTGGATTCTAAATTGAGTGAATTTGTCAATACAACTATTGGAATTGGTTTTATCATGCAATTACTTTATCTTTGTAAATGATTTTTTTCTACAGATACAGGGAACGGCCATTGAGGCCAATATGGCTCCATCATGCGCCAATCTGTATATGGCCAAGTTTGAGGAATATTTCGTTTATCCACATCCTTTATTCAGATTTGTAGCCGTTTGGTTTTGTTATATTGACGATGTGTTCTTTCTTTGGCATGGCTCAGAGGCAAACCTTCTATTATTCAAAGCAGACTTGGATCAATATGTACCAAGCATTACATTTACTTTGGAACATGATGCCGGTAGTATACATTTTTTGGATGTTCAGGTAAGTAAAATTGATGATGATCTGTGCTTCGATCTCTTTCGAAAACCAACTGTTAAAGTTGCATTTCTGCAGGCAAATTTGTTTCACTAGGCTAGTATGATTCGAAGTCTTCCTTTTAGTCAACTACTAC